GGGGGGGGCTCACCCATCCCGCCCCCCGCCCCCCCCAGCATGCCCGAGGCCCCCAGGGCCGGGGCATTCCACAGGCAGGGATTGGCCGGCACGGACACCTGGCGGGTCGCACACCCGTCTGCAGTCGTGGAGGGAGGAAGACAGACAGTGGAGGCTCCGCTGCAGGGCTTGGAGAGGGAGATGACCTCTCAGCCCAGGCTTAGGGTCTGGATGACAGGGTAGCCGTGGGTCCACCCGTCCCCGTCTTCGTAGACATCGTGCACGGGCCTCGACCATTCGATCCAAACTCTGGTTGTGGCCCCACCTGTCTTTCCCCTTAATGCGGTGGGTCAGCCTGGATGTCATGGCTGTCGCAGTGCCTGACGTCCAGACAGATGTGGCACTGGCTAGGAGGACCTCCGGGGGCGGCAGAGACGCCACCCCCCAGCCCCGGCATGCACGGAGGTGATGTGCTGGGTGAGAACAGGCCAGAAGCTGGTCGGTGACCAGGCTCAGCAAAGCCAGGCCCAGCTGCCCAGACCCCTGCCCTGTCAGACCTGCCCAGGCTGACACTGGTTTCTTATCCTGTGCCCGGCTAGGCTAGGACTGAGCCCTAGACATGTCCTCTGCAGACCAGCACTGGGTCTCAACTTCACTCAAGCCATCTCCAGTCCCCCGGGGGTTTTGCATGTGGCCTGGAAAGCCTGAGTCCTAGGAAGGCGCCTCCTGAGGGGACTCCCACCCAGTGACCAGCTTGCTGGGAGCGATGGGAGGGACCAAGCAGCCGTTCTGATGGGGAGGGGGCCCACAGTCACTCCAGGTGTGGAGGGCAGATCCCATGAGCCACTCTTAGAGGTGGCTGGCAGGGCTGGGAACGTCAGAGGGGGCGGTGCCGGGAGGAATGAGTAATGAGTGTCTGCCCGGGCCTGGGATGAAAGGGCCGACCACACTCACGGTGTCATTAGCCCCAGACACCTGGCTGTCTGTCCTCGGGGCCAGACTGACTGGGCAGGGGAGGAGCCGCATTCTCAGGGTTGAGGGTTGACCTGAGAACGAGGCTCCTCCAGTCTTGGCTCAGCCACTGCCCCACCCCGGGGAGAGACTCCCGAGAAGGTGCCCGAAGCTCGGCGTGTGCAGGGTCTTGGCCTGCCATCGGCCTTTGCTGTGGGGCTGGGGACCCTTCTGCCCCTCCTCTCCCCCCCCACCCCCCGCCCTGCTGTCCTGGGAGGGGCCTCTGTAGCCCTTCTGATGCCCTCCTGGCTGGTGGGCCGCAGAAGGCGGGGTCTGGCTGCGTAGTTCCTAGCTTCCCCGCCCCCCCCCCATAGCTCCCCAGGTGCCCAGAGGCCTCTGTGCCAGTGCCAGCCTCCCTCTGTCTCCCTCCTGCCAGGCACTGGCCTCACCCCAGCCTCCGGCAGCATCCGCCTGCCTGGGATGGCACAGGTTTGACCACCCAGTCCCCTCTTTTCAGGGCACCCCACTTTGTGTCGACTCACTTCGAGTCATGCCTGGGGTCCCCTGGGATAACTGCCAGTCCCGCGCGCCCAGGTGGGGGTCACAGCCCACCCCCCAGCCCCCAGAACGCTGGGTTTCCCCCCGTCAGAGGGGATGAGAGCCATGCTCACAGGGCTAGTCGCCTGGTGGCTGTGCCTCCCCCTTACAGGAGGCAGGCCTTCTGCCACGGGGTCCTCAGAATCTCCGGGAAGCAGGAGCCTCCAGGGTGGGAACCTGACTCAGGCGTAGGGCTCCCCAACCTGGGCCTTGGGAGGCGGACACAGGCAACGGGGTGGGGCCTGGTGCCTTCCATTTTCCTTCCAAGGATGCGGAGCAGGGAGCTGCACCTGGTGTGGCCCAGGTGGGTTACGGCCCAAACGGGTGTCAGACGGGGGAGCCCCGGGCAAGCCCTCACCCCCTGCCCCGCTCCACACTCGGGTGCGTGGGCTCCTGGTATCTGGGCACCTGGTGCTTGAAGCATCTCAGCGTGTGGAGGGCCGGGGGGCTGGGGCCCCTCAGAGGCAGAGGTGTTTCGAGCCCCTCCTGCCTCTGCAGGTCCGCCCAGCCTGGCTCAGCGGCCTCCTCCAGGGCCTTGCTGGCCAAGCTACCGTCAGCCACGCTGTCCTCCCCTCGGGCGGGTGGGCTCTGCCTGGCCCGGCTGCTCGTGGTCCTCCACACACCCCTGCAGCCCGGCTGGGACCGCTCCCCGGGGGCCCTGGTTCCCGGTGCCCCCCTCCCCCGGGCAGGTTGGGCCGGGGCCGGGGCCGGTGGTCATTCTACGAGCAGGGCTAGTGGAGAACCTGCGGCCGAGGAGTGTGGACAGTGTCTCCCGACTCAGGTCCCTGCTGGTGGCCGGCCCAAGTGGTCCCCCTGTCCCCTCCCTGACGGCTCCAGAGGCTGGGCACCAGGGGCTGGGACAGATGCAGACCTTGGGCCGGGACCGTGCACTGGGCCCTGGGTGCACCTTGTGCCTGGGAAGACGGCGGGAACCGGGCATCGGGGCCTCTGACCGGTGTGGGGGCAGGGGTCGCTCAGGTCTGGGCCTGCTGGTGACCACCCACCTGCCCTTCGCAGCTGGTACTTCAGCGGCATCAGCCGTGCCCAGGCCCAGCAGATGCTCCTGTCTCCGGCCAACGGGCCCGGGGCCTTCCTCATCCGACCCAGCGAGAGCAGCCGCGGCCACTACTCACTGTCAGGTAACGTGGCGGCCGCTTGCGCCTGTCCCCGGGCTGAGCCTGCGCCAGAACGCCCCTGACCTTGGGGCAGGTGCTCCCCAGGCCTCGCTGGCCACACGTCGAGCTCGAAGGCACCTGCAGCTGGTCACCTGTCAGCTCACCAACCTGCTGGTTACCTTCCCTCCTGTGCCTCTGAGCTGCCCGGCCTGCACAGCCGCCCGGCCATCACTCACCCTCCCTCCCTTCTTCCGCTCGTTCTCGGACTCTCCACGTGCCCTGGGCTCTGTGCCCTGTGGCCAGGAGCCCCCAGTGCCCCTCTTACTGCGCCTCTGGCTTGCGGCTGTCCACGCTCCCTCCTTTTCCGTGAGGCCCCTGAGGCGGGATCCGAGCCCGGCCCGTGGAGGGTTGTGGTGGCCATCTGGTTGGGCTGGCGGGAGGGTCTGGGGCAGGCAGCAGCCGGAGGAGGCCTTCATCTCTGTGCGCTCACAGTCCGGGCCCAGGCCAGCGTTCGCCACTACCGCATCTGCACCGCGGCTAACGGCCTCTACCTTCAGAAGGGCCGGCTCTTCCCCAGCCTGGAGGAGCTGCTCGCCTACTACAAGGCCAACTGGAAGCTGATCCACAACCCGCTGCTGCAGCCCTGTGTGCCCCAGGTGGGTGGGCCAGTCCCGCCCCCGCCCCCTGCCCAGCACACGTGGGGAGGAGCAGAGAGGGGTGCGAGCCAGGCAGCAGGCCCAGGCCAGTCTCCGAGCGCGAGCGGCTGCAGGGGTCTGACACGGCCCGGAGCACTGGGGGCCCTGCCTGGGGTCGGGTTTGCTCTCACAGGTACTGCGTCTCTATCTCCAAGGACTTCTGGTGCCCCCCCCCCCCGCCATACCCAGTTCTGTGGGGGGCAGATGAGGGCCGGGACGAGTGTGGGGAGGCATCTGGGGAAGGTGCCCACAGCAGCTGTGCGCCCCAGGAGGAAGCTGTAGGAGGAGACGCCGGGACCGGCTGCACACCCGTGCCAGAGCTGGAGCCCCCGGGCCACCACGCACCAGCCGTCCTGCCAGGGGCCAGGCAGCCATCCAGTTGCTCTGGTTTCTAATGACAGTCTGGCCAGGCACAGTAATGAGTGCGCGTGGGTGGGTGCCCACCTCCGGCAAAGGGGCCACTTAGAGCCCGGAACCACCGGGGCTAGACTCCTGGAGCTCATCACCTGGCTCCCCAGGCCTCCGCCAGGCCGGCGTAGGGCGAGCGCCGCGGCACAGGTGCTGGAGGCCGGCGCTCCAGGGGGAACTGTCCCCTCTGTCCAGGGCGCAGCAGGCGGAGGCCCCGAGTGCCCCCCACCCCCTCAGCAGCCTCTCCTGCAGGACGGGTGGGAGCGGCCTCGCTCCGAGTTTGCCTTGCGGAGGAAGCTGGGTGAAGGCTACTTCGGGGAGGTGTGGGAAGGTCTGTGGCTCGACTCCACACCGGTGGCAGTCAAGGTCATCAAGTCAGGTGGGTGAGGCCTGCCCGCCCCTGTCCGCCCCGCCCTCTGGCCCCTCTCGCCCCGGGGCAGCGGCAGGGTGGCACGGGCGGGGCCTGGAGCGGTGCCTCTCCTGCAGCCTACGTGAAGCTGGCAGACCTCACCAAGGAGATCCAGACTCTCAAGAGCCTGAGGCACGAGCGTCTCATCCGGCTGCATGCCGTGTGCTCGGCCGGCGAGCCCGTGTACATCGTCACCGAGCTCATGCGCAAGGGCAATCTGCAGGCCTTCCTGGGCAGTGAGTTCTGCCCCCGACCAGGGGCCGCGGGTGGCCCAGGTCTCCCTGCGCAGCCACGACCGTCGGCCCCCTTCTCGGCTTGGGCCTTTCGCGGCGTGCCAGGCTCGACCGTCAGGGCTCTGGCCCACAGCGGGTTCGGGCCCCGGGCCCGTGCTGTGCCTTGTGGGGGCACTCAGAGCGTCGAGGTTCCAGGCTGAGCGGGTGCACAAGGGGTGGGGCCCGCCCGTGTCACCAGCCCTGCGCGCCTTCCCTGCCTTGGCCCCCCTCTGTGTCTGGTCTCTCCCGGGGGCCCGGGTGGGTTGCCTCACTGAGCGGTCCCTGCACAGCACAGTGACCCTGCAGCCTTGGTGGGTAGCCCTGCCCTCACCCCCTCTTCAGGGTGAGGAGGCTGAGGCACAGGCGGAAGTGACCGGTGAAGACGCCCGCCCCCCTGATGGCCCATCCCGCCCCGTCCCACAGGCCCCGAGGGACGGGCCCTGGGCCTGTCCCTCCTGCTGGGTTTTGCCTGCCACGTGGCCGAGGGCATGAGCTACCTGGAGGAGAGGCGCATCGTGCACCGCGACCTGGCCGCCAGGAACGTGCTTGTGGGTGATGACCTGGGGTGCAAGGTGGCCGACTTTGGCCTGGCCCGGCTGCTCAAGGTCAGTTCAGCTTGAGACCTCCGACCCCACCGTGGCTGGGAGGCGAGGGCGCCGCTCCGCCCCGCCCACCACCGGTGTCCCCTCACCCAGGAGGACATCTACTCCCCAAGCAGCGGCTCCAAGATCCCCGTCAAATGGACGGCGCCCGAGGCAGCCAACTACCGTGTCTACTCTCAGAAGTCGGACGTCTGGTCCTTCGGAGTCCTGCTCTATGAGGTCTTTACCTACGGCCAGTGTCCCTATGAAGGTGGGCCGCAGGGGGGGCCTGATGCCGGCCGGGCAGGGTCTGGCCAAGAGCTGGGGGGAGGCGCCCACGCTGAGCCCTCAGCGGAAGAGAGCCCCCCCCCAGCCCTCTCGTTGCCCCTCGCCAGGACTGAGCAACCACGAGACCCTGCAGCAGGTCACCTGGGGGTACCGGCTGCCGCGCCCGGCGTCCTGCCCGGCCGAGGTCTACGCGCTCATGCTGGAGTGCTGGCGGAGCAGCCCCGAGGAGAGGCCCGCCTTCGCCGCGCTGCAGGAGACGCTGGACGCAGCCCGCAGGCGCCTCCACCCTGCCCTCACGTGACCTGGGGCGCTGGACGCAGGGGCTGGGGCCACTCCTCCCCGCCTGCGTGTCCCCGCAGGGCAGCACTGGCCGCCAACACACACGGGTGCCGGCAGCCTGGAGCCAACTCTGACCGAGGGCTGAGGGCCCTGACACACACACTGACCCACACTGTGCGTGTGGATGGCTGACACACGCAGACACCCGCTGACACAGGAGGGTATGATGGCCTTTGCCCTGAGTGACCCGGTGTCCCTGCCGAGGGAAGAACTCGGCATAGAAGTCCAGGTGGGGGGATGCGCTGGGCCTGCCGCCCTGGACGCCCTCCACCCCCTCCCAGGTCGAGAGCCAGAGGCCGGACTTCCCAGTGTTCTGCAGGGCCCCCCTGTGGCCGGTGTCGGGCTGGCGGGCAGACCCCAGGCGCTGGGCACACACGGCCCAGGAACAGACCCGGGCACACGGGAAGGCAGCGGGCACGCGATGAATGCACACCGAGCTGACTCAGACACACGCACAGACACGCGTCACCCACAGGCCGCAGCCCCAGCCCCGGAACAGACCCGGAGCTGTCATGGCCCACCAGCTGGTTCATCGTGGCAGACAGACAGCTGGCCCCACGCGGCCCCGGCCCCCGGCCCAGGATCCTAGCACCCAGACCGGGGACCCAGAGGAAGCATGACTTCTGGGCCACTGGCAGGACTCTGTGCCGGCCGCGGGAGCTGTGTGATAGCCCCTTCCATTTCCCTGGGGCCGGAATTGAAGGGGCGGAGGGAGGGACTGGGTCAGGCCTTGGGAAGGTCCGGCTGCTGGCTCTTTCTGGGGACGGGGCAAAGGTCAGGGAGGCAGAGTCTGGGCCTCAGCGGCTCAGGGTCCCGGGTGCTGGCCTGCCCGTGCAGGGTCAGGCAGGGGTGGGGTTGGATGCCACGGTGTTCAGGCAACTGGTCTCTGGGGAAAAGGAAACGGGTGGTTTCCAGCATGTGACTGCTCCCCCAGCGGCTGATTTCAAGCCACTGTTGATGTCACTGAATGAGGAGCTGGGTGCTGGGAGGGGAGGGGGGACGAACAGCATTGCTTCTCAATCATCCTGCCCAGCTCTGGTCACTAAGAGACGGACAGATGGAGGGCCGGGGGCCCGGGCAGGGGAGATCTATGCTCAGGGTCTTTACCCTCCACTCCCGTGCCCCCCATGATGACAGCTGCGCCCCGAAGGCCTGTGGGACGGAAGGACAGAGGCGGCTGAGTCTGCTTACCGTCCCCTGGAGAGAACCGCCCATGTGCACAGTTCGAGGCAGGGATGCGCCTGCTGAGGCCAATTAGCCCCGCCCTGCTTGACGTGAAGTGTTGGGGTTCGGAGCCGACGGCTAAGAAAGAACTCTTGAGATGTTTTTGGTGCAAAAGGTGGTTTTATTAAAGTGTGAGGACAGGACCTGTGGGCAGCAAGAGCCGCACTGGGGTTGTGGGGGGTGATGGGTTATATAAAATGTTCTATCCTATGGAGGGGAACGTGACGTTGGGGTTTCAGGAAATTGAATCCGTAGGTTCCTGGGAGTTTGGCTGTTGATAAAATGGCTTTTTTCCTTGTAAATCATTAAGTCGGTTGTAGACTGACAGACTCGTGTCCTGTGTGACCGTGATCTCTACCAGTTATCTGTTTGTTTGCCCCTTTTCCTTTGTTCTGGGGGCCAGGAGAGCGTGAAGAGAGTCACACACATCCCATGGGGGAGGGGCCCGAGGCGGGGGAGGGGGTAGCTTGTGCTCAGCCCTCAGCTGGCCTTTGTTTCCCACATCACCACTGATGACAGGCCCTGCCCTTGGGCTGGCAGGAGGCTGTGCAGGGCTGGATGGTAGGGGGCTTCCCAGAGGGGAGGGTGCTGAGGTCACCAAGGGGAGGGCCGCACAGAGGGAGGAGGGAGGACACGGCAGGGCCCGGGTGTGAGTCAGGGCTGAGCGGGGAGAGGACGGGGGCTCCTTACATTGGGT